TCTTCAGCTAATGGTAAACTGCTGATGGACACATGCCATCCAGTTCAAAAGGACCCAGTCCAAGAAAGTTTTCTCCTTATAATTCGCTTTTAATATATTCTTTGGATGATAATAATGTTATTTAATAATGAATTTATACCCCCCAACTCAAGAATCATACTTCTTCAGCTAATGGTAAACTGCTGATGGACACATGCCATCCAGTTCAAAAGGACCCAGTCCAAGAAAGTTTTCTCCTTATAATTCGCTTTTAATATATTCTTTGGATGATAATAATGTTATTTAATAATGAATTTATACCCCCCAACTCAAGAATCATACTTCTTCAGCTAATGGTAAACTGCTGATGGACACATGCCATCCAGTTCAAAAGGACCCAGTCCAAGAAAGTTTTCTCCTTATAATTCGCTTTTAATATATTCTTTGGATGATAATAATGTTATTTAATAATGAATTTATACCGCCCAACTCAAGAACATACTTCTTCAGCTAATGGTAAACTGCTGATGGACACATGCCATCCAGTTCAAAAGGACCCAGTCCAAGAAAGTTTTCTCCTTATAATTCGCTTTTAATATATTCTTTGGATGATAATAATATTATTTAATAATGAATTTATACCCCCCAACTCAAGAATCATACTTCTTCAGCTAATGGTAAACTGCTGATGGACACATGCCATCCAGTTCAAAAGGACCCAGTTCCAAGAAAGTTTTCTCGTTATAATTCGCTTTAAATATATTCTTTGGATGATATTAATGTTATTTAATAATGAATTTATACCCCCCAACTCAAGAATCATACTTCTTCAGCTAATGGTAAACTGCTGATGGACACATGCCATCCAGTTCAAAAGGACCCAGTCTAAGAAAGTTTTCTCCTTATAATTTGCTTTTAATATATTCTTTGGATGATAATAATGTTATTTAATAATGAATTTATACCCCCCAACTCAAGAATCATACTTCTTCAGCTAATGGTAAACTGCTGATGGACACATGCCATCCAGTTCAAAAGGACCCAGTCCAAGAAAGTTTTCTCGTTATAAGTCGCTTTTAATATATTCTTTTGGTGATAATAATGTTATTTAATAATGAATTTATACTCCCAACTCAAGAATCATACTTCTTCAGCTAATGGTAAACTGCTGATGGACATATGCCATCCAGTTCAAAAGGACCCAGTCCAAGAAAGTTTTCTCGTTATAATTCGCTTTTAATATATTCTTTGAATGATAATAATGTTATTTAATAATGAATTTATACTCCCCAACTCAAGAGTCATACTTCTTCAGCTAATGATAAACTGTTGACGGACAAAGGCCATCCAGTTCAATAGGGCCCAGTCCAGGAAAGTTCTCTCGTTATAATTCGGTTTTAGTATATTCTTTTAATGGTAATAATGTTATTTAATAATAAATTTATACCCCCAACCCAAGGGTCATACTTCTTCAGCTAATGATAAAATGTTGATGAACAAAGGCCATCCAGTTCAAGAGGGCCCAGTCCAGGAAAGTTTTCTCGTTATAATTCTGTTTTAGTATATTCTTTTAATGGTAATCATGTTGTTTAATAATGAATTTATACTCCCCAACCGAAAAATCATATTTCTTCAGCTAATGGTAAACTGCTGGACACATGCCATCCAGTTCAAAAGGACCCAGTCCAAGAAAGTTTTCTCGTTATAATTCGCTTTTAATATATTCTTTGGATGATAATAATGTTTGGGACACCCTGTACATCCGAGAGATCGCCTATGCTCTCTATAGAAATGACATTATAAGAACAAAAAAAATAGATGTTCGGATTTAAATAAACTTATTTTATATTTATTAGTTGATGTTATTTACGTGACGCCGCGCCACTGTCTTATAATATAAACTGTCTGAAGGATTAACGGTCTTGTTTCTGATCTGATTACGATTTTAAGCCATTTATCGACAGTTTAAGTCCTCATCTGATTAACAAATTCGATTCAACAAAGCCGAAGCCAATCAACAAGTCGATCGGCCGGCCAATCGGCTTTCCCATCCAAAACCTCTTATTGTTTAATTAATTTTCCACGTATTAAAACTGACACGGACATATCTTAATACACAACAAGGCAAGACATGAACACAAAAAAATTCTTTAATACTCCACAGCTTTATGAAGGTTTTTGAATATTTTTAAATATTTTAGAAAAAAAAAAATCTTCGAAGGGAAATTAAATTTAAAAGAAAAAAATCCAGAAAAGATCCAGTGGTTCTCAAAATGTAAGCAAAAAATCATTATTTTTTAAATTTTCAAAATAAAATTACTGAGTTATTTTATTTTGAGACTCATTTGAAAAACGGTAAAGAGAAAACATGTTTCTTTTATCGAGATCTACCAGCCCCGAAAATATTTGCACTTATTTATGGCTCACCCTGTATAGGAAATGTAAATGAAAATATGGAGAACAAATTCAACAGTAATAATTGTCAGTTTTTTTAATTCATTACATTATATTTTAATCTTGCTTGGCGATTTGGTATCTGGACAGGGTCGTACAACAAAATACTAAATTATTAGGAAGTATAATTTGTGAAAATTCTAAAAATAAAAATAAAAAAGTCCCAGTTATACTACTGGGGTCATAACTGGAGCTATTTCGGCTACGACAATTTTTTAAAGGTACATAATTATAATTTTAGAAAATGTTCATAAAACATTTAGCACTAGTTGATTAAAAAAAGTATACCATTAATATTGCAAATTATATTTTATCCCCTCATAGTATATGTCTATTTAATTTTTTGATAATTTAATTAGCACTTTGTTTACTCACTTGTTTCGTTGAACTGCTTCAATCTATGTTTGCTTTTGATCAAATCTGTGTCAGAAACTATGAAGCTATAAAATGTTGTTTCGGAAGACTTTAATATCCGGGAAAGTTGAGTTATTGAATGTTGTTGCACCCAACAACGCTCTAATTACGCTCTCCTTTAATCGTTAACATTTTTTCGCCAATTTTATTAACATTTGAAATTGTCACACCACAACACGGCGGCGGCGCCTAGTTCAGGTTCTATTTCACTTAATTTTTACTACTTTATATTAATCGAAACAGCGTTACATCACACAAGCCCCGTACAGTGTTTTCAATAACTGCGCTAGGCAAAAATCAAATACTTAAATATTATGACAAAACCACGATTTAAATATTTTTTCAATGCGATCGACATAAACAAGATTTTACACAAAAAAGTTATTTCGAATAATATCAGGGCTTTTTGTCTTCAAGTGGTAGTTAAACGTATTATTATTTAAAATATGGCATATTGAAAATCATTTTTTCAAATTTTGTTTATTCTTTTAGGTTTCTTTGTCTCATAAAATAACAAGATAATAACTAAATTTACTGGCAAAGTATTCAAAAGTTTCAAAAAACATCTAAACACCAGTTCTCAGTGAATGATAAAATCCTATATTTATCCTAGTAATCCTAGTATCACTCGTATAATTTAATATTTCTGATCAACTATCAATTATATTCTTAATTGATCAGAAATATTAAATGATACTATATATCGCCCCGAAATATTGTTTATTAATTTAAAATGTTTTTACTCTTGTGCGAAAATCTTTAGCACAGAACATTACAACAAGAAAACGAAATATATGCTTTAGTTAACACTAGTTTTATATGTTAAATAAAATAAGGAAACATTTACTTTACCTTTAATACCATTCCTTGTCACAATAACTAAAACTCACAAATCAAAATAACATCAATGCGTCTCGAACGATAGTCAAAAACTGTTACCTAACATCTATCATTTTTTGTTTGTTGTTTGGTATCCCTCTCCTTGCGAGTAAATATTTCAAAAATCAATAATTTTGTTTATATACACAGAGTGTCTTAAAAACTGAATGTGTTGAATTTAAATATACAAGGTGTCCCAATATTCCGTGACTACTGCGTATTTTTCGAATCAAAATAAGTTCATTATCTATACTAATATAATATAAAATCCTTTCACTGATTAACCACGATCCTGCTCAAACCACTTAACTTAAGAAGCTCAATTTTGGCATACAGGTTGATTCTAGGGTGTAGAGGTTCGATAAGAAGGGATTTTTCGAAATTCCAGTTCCAAGAGGGTGAAACCACCCCTCAAATATTACAATATTTTTTATTTAAAAAACGGTCAAGTTTCCGAAAAACCGCTTAAACACGTATATTTTATTTTGTTTTTTTACATATTTTAAGATTTCTTACAAATGTATACAGGGTGTTTCGAAAAATCTGGTTATTGATTAATTACGATCCTGCTTAAAGCGCTTGACGGAAAAAGCTGATTTTTGGAAACGGATTGACTTTAGGGTGTAGAGGTTCGATAAGAACGGATCTTTCGAAACTCGAATTCTAAGGGGGTGAAACCACCCCTCAAATATTGAATATTTTTTATTTAAAAACCGGTAAGTTTTTCGGAAAAACTCTTAAACACGTATATTTTATTTTGTTGTTTTACATATTTTAAGATTTTTTAAAAATTTATACAGGGTGTTTCATAAAATATGACCATTGAGTAATCACGATTCTGCTTAAACTGCTTGACGTTTAAAGCTGATTTTCGGCAAACGGATTGAGTGTGGGGTGTATAGGTTCGATAAGGAGGGGTTTCTCGAATCTCAAATTCCTAGAGGGTGAAAAGGCCCCTCAAATATTACAATATTTGTTATTTAAAAAACGGTTAGTCTTTCGGGAAAACGCGTGGATACGCATAATTTAATTTGTTTTTTTTTACATATTTATTTTGAAATTTTTTAAAAAATCATACAGAGTGTTCCAAAAAGTGCTTTGCTTTATCATCACCATTACGAATGATTAATTCGACGCGAAGTCGCGGGTACACGCTAGTAGTAACTTTGATCAATTATTAATTGTTTTCAGTTCCTTTTTTGCATTGTGTTATAATTTAGTTTTTTATTATTTTTTTTTTAATGTAAACTAATATTATCTCTGTTTTCTTCCAGACCTAAAAAAACAGTTCGAGTCCAACCCGGACCCAGTGATCAAAGTGGAAATAGGGCAGCACACCGAACTGAAATGCGTACCGCCCCAGGGTATGCCGCCCCCCAGGGTGTACTGGCTCAGAGGGGGGCAAGTACTGCAGCCAGATAGTTCGGTCCTGGTTACTACCGATGGGCATTTGCTGATTGGTCAGGCCCGGACTCAGGATACAGGGAATTATACTTGCGTAGCGGAGAATATAGCGGCAAAACGGATGGCTCCCACGTCGCAGTTGATAGTTTTTGGTAAGTTGATTTTGAATTTGAAGTTGGGAATTTTGATGGTGCCTATTGGTTCAGAATATTTAGTTTTCGGTGCAAAAAAAATTCTAAAAGCTTGTAGAATAACTGAACAAACGAAATTATAATTCCAGCTATAAAATATACAGAAAAAAAATGAGACCGAGTATAAAAACCACAAACATTCGTTTCGAACTGGAATTCTGTCGACAATAAAACGGTATCCGTGCTCTTTCTGGGTTTCATTATGGCCTTTTGAAATGTTAGGCATCAATAATAGTCGAAAATCTCCGTTCTACGTAATCCGAAAATAAATTCTCCTCGGTTATATTTTGATATCTGCCCTCTCCTTCTATCGCGTTGGGAAAATCCGGAAAAGTTGGAAAATATGGTCCGCGTCCGAGATGTATATTTACATGGAAAATTCAGGCTTTTCCGTGACGATAAAAACGCTCGCTGGTGGTTGGTCCTTCGGGAAATTGTAGTTTTTTATGAATGGAAAATTCCTTTGGGAAGTATTTACTGTTAACTGTTAAAGGTATTTCTAATACCTAGGTACTGTTTTATTAGAATGATTAAAATAAATTTGTACAACAGTTATTGACTTAAAAAGGTCCTGAGCGAGTCAAAAATTTAAAATATAAAAAAAATGTTTTTTTTTTTTTAAATGCCACTGCACTGAATCATAAAATTTAATACTTATAAAGTAGTAAAATCTAAAAGATTTATACAGAGTGGGCCACTGAAAACTTACAATGGCTATAATTTTGAAACCAAAAAAGATATCAAAAAAATAAAAAATACCGTCTCTATAATATCGAGGGGGAATACATATGACGTATATTTTGAAACACCCCGACCTACCCCTAAGGCGGCACCACTACTCACTTGAAAATCTTAAATGGCAACACCCCACTTGTGGCCCCTTTTTGGAAGCCCCAAAAATGCTAAACGATGATCATAAAGTTTTTAGGGTGAAATTGAAAAACTACCCCTTACACGAAAAATTAGGTGGACATTAATGAGAAAAGTGATTTTTGCAGCATAAGTTCAAACAAATAAATATATAAATCTAATATTTAAATATATATACTAAGATATCTTAAAAATTACCATGTCTACGCTTCCATAGTGCCTTTTTTTTTCTCGGAAAATACAAACAGTTTAGGTCACAGGTGGCGCCAACAGGGGGATTGGGGAGCAGACGAAGCAAGGCAACTACTGTCATTTCGGTAATAACGGGCGATTAAGGGAGAGTGTGGCACGGAACACCTGATGACAGCAGCCGGAAGCCCACCGCATTTTTTATTTCGCAAGCGGATATGGGTTTTGTTATTATTTTTTGCTAAAATAGGGCCTTAAAGGAGCCTCTTTTGGTGTTGGGAAATGTTTGATATTATACGTCATTGAGGTAATCTCACTTGATATAGGGCTTTTAAAGTTAATTCCCTACGTCCCCTAATTTCAATGTAAACATAGAGAACGTCAAAATTAGTGGTGGTAATTTTTCAATTAGTAGGAAAAGGTTAACAAACTTTAGATTCATTCAGAACCTCGCAATTAGTGGAATAAATTAGTGGTTTCAATTAAACTTTATACTTTTTAGTTTACGATTATTCCCAATATTTAAAAAACACAATTAAGATTAATAGAATATCCTAGCAACAGCTTGCATTAGTCAGTCGTATCCATAGAGAAAGCCTAATATTTAGCTTATAAAACAATCCACATTTGATTTCTAACTACAATTTATCTTGACGGATGATAATCAAAGGCCAAAATGACATTTCTCGCAAATTTTGAAGTATCATTAGTGGAAAAGTTAAAAGTTTGATAACTTTTTCTACTAATTAAAAATGTCTACCACTAATTTTGACGTTTTGAATGATTACATTGAAATTCTTCTTCTTCTTCTTCTTTTAGAAGGCGTATCGCCTGTTTAGTTCCGGTTTCCTCCTCGTCTAAGCAACTCTTGCGAGGTTGACTGCCAACTGTCTTGCCAACGTTTAGGTGGTCGTCCAGTAGGTCTTCTGCCATGGGGTACGTTGTTGCGAATTATTATGGCCATTCTGTCGGGGCCCATCTATTGACATGCTGGTTCCATTCTCTTCTTCTCTGCCTTATCCATCTGACAACGTCGTTTGTTTGGCACTTTTCTCTTATGTCTACATTTCTCTGTCTGTCCCTCAATGTGTATCCAGTTATCATTCTTAAGGTCTTCATTTCAGTAGTTCGTAGGATTCTCTTTGTTACTGATGTTTCAGCTCTGGTTTCCGCACCATATGTCATCACTGGTCGTATGCAGGTTTTGTATATTCTTGACTTACATTCTGTACTCAAATGTTTGTTTTTCCATATGGGATATTTAAGATGTCCTGATATTGCGGCAGCTTTATTGGCTTGTTTCCTTACTTCTTCTTCCAGGAATCCTGAGCTTGTAATTTTGCATCCGAGGTATTCGAATGACATTATCTGATCAATAGTTTTGTTTTTTATTACCAATTTGCACCGTAGAGGCTCCTTTGTAATGGTCATGCATTTGGTCTTATTTGTGGAAATTTGCATGTTAAGTTTTTCTGCCTGTCTGTTAAAAGCTTGTAGCATTCTTTGGAGGTCGTCCTCTGACTCTGCAATAAGTACTGCGTCATCGGCATAGCATAATATGTTTACTTTATGCATTCCCATTCGATATCCTAATCCAGTATTCTTGACGGTTTTTATTACTTGATCCATGATTGTGTTGAATAACAGAGGGCTGAGGCTGTCGCCTTGGCGAATACCAGTTGTAGTTCGAAGATGCGGCGTTAAGGTAAAATTTGTTCTTATTTGGGTTGTTGTGTTTGTGTTTAAGTCCTTGATAAGTTCTGTGAGTTCTTTCGAGACATTACTGCTTTCAAGATGGTGATGATGTCTTTTAGTTGGACTCTATCAAAGGCCTTTGTTAAATCTATAAAACATAGATAGGCTGGAGAGTTATATTCTAAGGATTTTTCAACTAGTTGCCTGAGTATGAATAGTGCATCGGTAGTTGATCGGTTTCTTCGGAATCCTTTTTGTTCCTCGCTTATTGGCACTATTGAGGAGATTTTGTCCGCAATGATCTTAGTCAGAAGTTTTAGCGAGGTGCTCAGTAATGTTATTCCTCTATAGTTTGCTGGGTCTGTTTTATCTCCCTTTTTAAAAATGGGTATTGTTATACTTTGTTTCCATTCTTCTGGTATTTTCTTATGTTGTAATATAATGTTAAACAGTTTTGTGTATTCCTCTATGATAGCCGTCCCTGCGTTTTTTATTAGCTCGTTTGGTATTTTATCTTGATTAGGAGATTTTCTATTTTTAAGTTTCCTTATTGTCTCTTCTACTTGCTTGTAAGTGATTTACAAGCATTGACATTGAAATTAAAGAAACAAACTTCTACGCTAAGTGAAACCACTAATTGCGAGCTTCTGTATGAAGCTTTAGCTTTCTCTACTTATTTAGACTATTATTCATAATTTGACCTAAAAAAGTATAATTAAAACCACCATTTTATTCCATTAATTTCGAGATTCTGAATTAAGATTTACTGTAATTCCTAATACCGTTAATTTAATATGTTAATATTCACTGACATGAAAAAAAAACTGAAAAATTTACAACAGAAAAAAAACAAACTGAAAAAAAAATAAAGTCATATTCTCTTCATTTTACAAGCTTGTAAAAAGGCATTCGCTACAAAATCGTGACATTAACATATAGTTCTGTTAAACGCCATCCCACTGCAAACAAAAATACTTAATCTCGACCTACACTGGTGCAGTTTTTCCTTTATACGCGCGTCTCGAAAATAATATAAAAACGGTAGTCTGGCGCATATAAAGATAATCATCTGGAGTTTTAATCTGGCAACGTTTTCTCGAAATCTTGACGGTTTTAATGTATCTGTCATGGCTGATGACGGCGACGACGACGATATAAAAGCAATTCTACGACTGGGAAGGATTTCGGTTTTGTTTCTGAAAGTCGTCGGTTTCAGTATAAAATGGACGTGTAAAGAAGATTTCTTTTCCTGGTAGAAAATGAAAATGATTATTTAAAGCCTACTTGTATGTTAAAATTATAATTTTTAACGTTTTTTAACGGTTTTTATCTCTTTTTTCAGGACCTATTTCATGTTAAAATTATAATTTTTAATGTTTTTTACGGTTTTTATTTCTTTCTTCAGAACGTATTTCATGTTAAAATTATTTTTTTTAGTTTATTTGAATTAAATGGTGTCGCCAAACAACATGTTTTCGATAAAAAATTATCCAAAAAAATTTTTATATCATTTTCTATCGTATGATCGAAAAAAGAACGGCGTCAAAGACGGCTAGGATGACAATCGATGATAATTTGGCGAGGTCAATCTCTAGACGTCATTTACTAAAAATTGACATAAAGTTGGTCAAAAACTAACACTAATTAGAGAAAGATCAAAAAAGGAATTTTTTCCCGAATTATAAACTACACCTTTCAATCATTTTTACTCAATATAAAAATAAGTTACAACCTTCTTAAGGCCAACTGGCAGTAAGAGCCATTAAAAAATAAAAATGTGTACGGGTCAAGTAATGATGCCTAGGGCTTGACCTCGCCAAAATTATTATCGATTGTCTTTCCCCAGATGTCTTTGACGCCGTTTTTTTTTCATTGTATGGTACAAGTCTAATACCGATAATGCGCGGGCTTATATACTCACGCGTCTAGCCGCTTCCGAGTTAACTGGCTATCTACCGACAAGAAGTTGCTCGAACGAGATTTGGTTGCTTTGGTTTCAACTTTTTGTGCGCGATTCTTTGTTTTTTTTTTAATATTAATACCAAGACACCAATAGTACCAAAAATAAAGTAAAATATTTCAAAATATCGTGCATAATCCGCATTTTTTATCTAAAATTACTATTAAAAACTATTATTTTTTTGATAAAAAAAAAGAAAAAAGCAGTGTGTCTGGATAGTTTGATTTCTTTGAATGTGTTACTTACT